GTTCTTGCCCAATTGATGGTTAGTCACTTACGTGAAGAACCAGGGAGGGTGTTCGTGAGTCTGCGAACATTGCTGTTGGATACATGTGCTGGATGATTTTGTGTCACGCAGACTGGTAAGATAACCGTTTGATAGGGGGCACCGCGATGATTCACGGGGCCCCTCCTTGCTGTGGGAGCCGCTCTTTGAGCACTCCCTCTTTCGTCCGTGTGAAGGATGGTCGTCCACCTCCCGTGAAATTAATACATCACCAAAACAGTCTCACCCGATAAATAAGTGGCGTAGGCCGCAAACATCCCTTGCTCCCGCTGCCAGATCCCAATGAACCCCTTGCCTCGTGTCCTCCCGTCGTTTGACGAAACTCACAACGAAATCGATCAAGACTATCCGTTACAAGCTCCCGTGATTCGCAACGGGTGGAGGTCTCTCAACGAGCCCGAGATGGCGGACGGACTGTACAATCCGCTATGCGCCGCCAGACTGGTGCTGGATCACTTTTTCGTGGGCGAGGCAATGACGATTTTTCTTTGGGCAACATCTGGCAAACCACCCACCTGGAAACTCTCCCCCGGGATCTGGTACACATCACCGCTACCATTGTATTCACAAATCAATCGTGGTAGTGCCATTGCCGCGATCTTTCACTCCCTGATTCAATAGTGATACACACACGGATTACCCGTCTGTGTCGTTTGGATCAACCAATGAAAAAGAAGGGCGGAGTCTCATGACTCGCGTCGGAGCTTTGGATTTTCTCAGGCCCCGTACTGACGAAGAGCCAAAATCAAAATCGAGCTGTGATTGGTCGAAGACCAAAAGAAAGCCGTTCGGGGTTGCAGGCACAGAGTTCAGTTTCGTTTTTGTGACTTTGAAAAAAACGCCCCAAGACTATTACAATGAAACAAAAATGATCTTCATGACAAAGTCGCCTCTTTTAGCCGGTTTTGATTTTGATTGCCTTGGCTTTTCTTTGTTAATACGGGGCCTACGTACAGTCAACAACTTTCGGTGAGGTCAACAACTTTCGGTGAGGTGAGCGACAAACCGTGTCGACGTTAACACGGATATTCGGTAGAAATAGGCTATTGCCGACAGATGCACACTGCACTAGGGTGAAGAGTGATGCTATTCGTTTCGCCTTGGAATAGAGTTCTCACATCCTGTCACCGCTCTTCCTAGAGCGGGCAATGAGTATCCCCACGACCTTCCAACAGGGGGCCCGAGCCTTCCCCTCAAATGTCATCGCTGCCGCAGCCGTGGTGGCACCACCAGCACCGGCTGTAGGTCCAGCATCTGCGATAGCACCGGTAGAAACCGGACCGGTAGCCATGTCCGCGCCAGCAGTAAGGCGAATGGCTGCCTCAAGATCTCCGCCGGTCATCATGGCTTTGGGACTGCCGAGAAGGCCGTTGGCCGACGTTGAACTTGCATCCCTACCCTGTGTTGGTCCCTGTGTTGGTTTCGTCACGGGAAAACAAGCGGTTCGGGAGCGTGTTTTCCCATGTACTGCTTGCTCTTGCAGCCGTTTGATTGTTGACCGTAGACTCCTTTCAGACGATCAAAAGGACGCGGTACAAAGAATGCGGTTCCGGCGAATGCGGAACTCTGTTCATGTTCATTTCCAAGGCCCGAAAAAGGGATTTTTTTTGTGGCCATCAGTTTCTGGTGGGGTAAGCCCAATTCTGTTGTTGCGGAAAGGGCATTGGGTGGGTTGGGTCAATAGTGCCCAATGACTCTTCCACCACAAAGAGCCAAGTCAAAGTATCCCCTACAACACTTTCCAATTATCCAATAAGGTTTCCGGTCAGGCCATTCCACTTTGTTTGCTGATCTCTCGTAGATTTCCGTTTGCATTCAGCCCTTGCACATGAATCAAACTTGCATGGTCCATTTACATCGACACACCACGTTTCAAGGAACAGCAACCTTGCCTGAAATTTGCCCAAAGGAGTAGGAGGGAAGCCACCAAAAGACCGTCCATTCCTACGCATCCGCTTAAGACATTCAGGTGCAGTCCATGAGAGGCCATCGGTATTCAAGCTACTCCTCTTTCCCATAGGACGCTTGTTCTCGCCAACTGGAGCGGTCTGTGCAATGAAGAAATCAACTCAGGCCAACAAGTACAACCGGCGTCGAAGGTTGGAATGCATGCACTTGTATTAATGTTTCAAAGGCCATGGAATTTGCCCAATGGGATGACACTTCTGCGACGGAGAGAGCTACGAATAACATTTTGTGAATCGAAGGGGTTTGGGTGATGATACGCTTTACAGACGACCAGGCGCCATGAACATTGAAACAAGACAGCGAAACTATGGAGATGGTAGATGCTGAAAGCAAACAGACCAGACGAGAGACCAAACAGGCTACATGTGTATGGGCAGCCATCGATGACTCCTGGAAAGCTGTTTGCAAGAATGAACAAGATGTTTGTCAAACACCGAAGAACACCACACACTACGACAGTAACAGGGAACGTAACCCGTCCGATCGTTGCATTCAGATGAAATCGTCGCGAAGAGACTAGCGTGTGCTAGTTTTCTTCAATTTCGTTTCATGCAATATCTAGCTGGGCACAGGATTGTTTGTTAGGGACCTCTAGCTAGCCTTAGTCGGACAGCTGCAGACAACATAAGGGGGTTTGCTTGTACAACGCTTGCCCATTTCCAGGACTGAGCAGAGCACCGAAGGGATCACGATTCCCACATTGCACATGATGGGCAATCGAAAGTAATGCCCCTCCATCCTCACCAGCACGCCAAAGATGGCGACAGTGTCGCGGCGGTCCGTCGTCGCCGGCGCCGGCTCCATCGATTCGACACCTCCACCGCCGCTGCCAATCGCCACGCTACCGCCAGGCCCATCTTGGCCGGGATGTTCGTTGTCCCCTCCCCTCACAACCGCCCTGCGCGAGCCAGCCTCGCCGGTAGTGCAACTACCACGACCACCAGCCAAGCCGCGGGCGCGAGTCCCGCTGACGCCGACGATTCCAAGCCGCTTGAGCGCGGAAGAGATCGTGTAGTGGTGGGCTACCTTGCTGCTTGTCCCGGCTGTCGTCCTTGATCGGGCGGGCGTGGAGGGAATGAACCCGCGACCAGCGCTGCCGGAGCGCTCCGAAAAAGAGAAACTTAGATAGTCGGAAAATTGGCTGCCGTGCTGGCGGTCGCGACGCCTCTGCTGCAGGGTAGCGGTATTGGCCGTTGTCGAATGGGCGTCAAAGTTCCCCCCGCCGTACGTAGTGGCGCAGCTCGCCTGGGCGCTCGCCGTGCTAGCCCAGTATCCTCCCGCGCTGGCCGTGCGTGCGCTGCTTTCCATCTGCAGCATCCCTGTACGGAGCGAGCGAGAGGCCCGACATGACCTTCCATCAGACGCCCCTGCCCGGCGATGGTTCACTATCGTCGAGACCTCACAATATATTTTCCCCGCGTTGTCGAAGGCGACGTCGGCAGTCGAGGCGCACGATGTGGTGCACGAAACGCGCGACGGAGAGGGCATGCCAGAATCCGGGTGGCTGTTGCCCTCAGCACTGCCGTTGCGGCCTGGGTTGCTAGTGGTGGTACTCGTCTTCGTGCTCCCGTCCCAGCCGCTCCCGTGGGTGCATTGTCTTGATCCCAAGCAACCGTCGGAGACGGAGAAAGGGGAATGATGGTGCGTCACATTTTGAATGAAGAAACAAACAAGGTAGGCACATTCATTGCAGCTCTCACCCATCCCACACGCAACCTCGCTCGGATACACCTCACAAAATGTTTGGGGACGAGGAATAACCAACAGTGAGTGGGGAGGATGCGCCATTTTCCTTTGAACACACCCATGATTCCCCGAGATTGAATCCGTTCGAGTGTACTTCCCCGAGAAATCAAGCTCCCCGTATTTACAAGATGATATCATAAGTGCGGGTCGTTCCCGGGTGTCGGAAAGGGCTGCCGTGTAGTCCACCCCGCCGATATCGAAACAGTCTTCAACGGAAAAAACATGCATATTTAGGCATGAACCCTACCCAGCCGAGGGTCTTGCCTTTCGACAACACTAGGGGAGCCAATGCTTCACGGGGGGGTGGAAAAGAAGATATATTGTCCTGGTCATGAAACGGAAAGTCTCGCTGTGGGCGGAACGAGCAGTATATATCCTGCGACCGAAATAACGTGAGGAATATTGCCACACAACCGCAACGAAACATTCTGGGATGCTATATGGTGCCTGTTTCTGTCGCAATTTCGACTGCGTGGGCTAGATAATCGAAGGCATTTATCATGGACAACGTGCGCGTGCAAGCACGATAATTGTTAAACTGGAGTAAACTCAATGTTTCACAATACATTCCAGCGCGAGCGATTGGCTTCCACAAACCCTCACAACATATGTGGCCAAAGCACTCAGGCTCAGCGTGGCCTTTTTCACGGAAAGGAGACTTGATGACAAGCCGAATGCTTTCCACACAACAGGGTTAGTGTCGTTGCGCTTGCCACGTGACCATGAAACACATGGCCGTGAAATTATTTTCTTGGGTTCGAGTTTCACTCCAACGTACTTTGAAAGCTAATTTTTCTCATTGTATGACCTGGCTGAATGATCTTCCAGGGCCTTGGCCGCCGGACCGCAGTAAATCGTCCTCCGTCTGTCCAGCAGGATACTGTGGGGAAAAGCCTCCATATCTCCGGCCGAGGATAGTCAGTTGAAACCACCACTGCAACCTAGTTGTCCACCGATTTATCGACGGGTGGAAAACGGGCACGATACATACACGCACGGACAGCAGAACGAGGGAAGAGAGAGAGAGAGAGAGAGAGAGAGAGAGAGAGAGAGAGAGAGAGAGA